GACATCTCTGAAGCCAAGGCAGCCCCTCCCTAATTTATTTTTTTATTTCACATGAAATACGCACATTTAAAATTGTCATTTCTCTAACAATATGCAGCACTCAGTTTGTTGCCTTGCTGTAAACCTGGCAAAGCTTTTTAATTCTGACCTGGACTAGTCTCTTCAATTATTGTCAGAATGTTTGAAAAGGGCAGGCACAAGAATGACAATTAGAGGAATTTTTTTTTTAATTCTTCCTAAAGACGCCTTTGTTCCATTTGGAGACATCAGCTTTCTTTCTACTGCCCTGAGACGATATTCCTGCACAGTAGGTGGCAGACTCCTGGGGCAGAATCCCTGTTGCCGTCCAGTTGTCCTTGCTGCAGAGTCCCTGGCTTGAAGTTGGCCAAGTCATGGACCCATCTCTGTATAACAACCTGGAGGAGATTAAAGGCAAAACATCTTGATAGCAGTTTCCCAAGACACTCACATGCCTTAGGATGTAAATCCTATGTGGCTGTCAAGTTGCTTTGGGGATTAAACACCAAGTCAGATATTTTTGAGTCCCTCTCATGTGCTGGGAAGGTAGAAGGTGGGAGTGAAGTCAGTAACAGGAGATCGTCTTCCTGTCCTCACATAAAAATAGCAGCCAGCAGTACAACATGCCGGGTGTGCCCTGGGCACGTCGCTTGTATCCGTCCATTGACCCTTCCTAACAACCCTCACAACGCACTGTTAACATCCCTGGTCTGCGGCTGGAGAAGCTAAAGCAGAGAGGCCGTGCAGACTCCAGTGCTGACAGCCTGGCACCAAGGACCTCTCAGAGAGCTGACTGTCCACTAGGACAGTCAAACGCATTCCCGTCTAGAAAAGAGGGAGGCTCCAAAACCTAGTGCTGAATGACTTAAAAAGAAGCCTGATTGGGTCAGAATGCTGAAGACCAGGACCCTGAGTGAGTAATGAGCTCTGCCGTTGGGCTCCAGTCTCCGTACCTCTTCAAGGCGAGGACTGGGGAGAATGCGCACCCTGAGCCCTTCCGTGCCAGCGTGCCCAGATGCACCTTTCCAGCACAGCCTGCCCTTCCAGGGTAACCTGGTGGCACTGAACACCAGGGAAGACCTGTCTTTCCAGTAAATTTAGGGAAAGGTAAAGCAGGGCGTGGAGGATGCAGGACAGAGGACGGCACCTGACACACGTGGTGGGGCTGCGGGTCCCTGTATTGGCAGGGCCCCAGGATCCAGCTTGTCCACGTTTAACTTCGGCATTCGTAACTTTCATTTCCTGTGTGTCACATTGGTTCTTCTTATATACACAGTATCCTCTCCTGTCTCTCTAAGGGCAGTAACTGTCTAAAGATTTTCTTGGTTTGTAAACTCTTCCTTCAGATGAAAATGCATCT